CCCCTCCTCGACTCCCCAAACGGCGGCGCGCATCCTGCCCGCCCGGCCGCTCACCTTCCTGCTCCTCATGAGTGAGCGCCCCCCGAGCCTAACGTTCCTCCGCCGTCTCAATCGCGCGCCCGCCGCCGCCGCCGCCGCCGCCGCCACGTCTGACGTCACCGCCACGCGGCCAATCCCGGAGCGGCGTCTCCGGATCACGTGCCCTAAACAAACTCGGTTCTCCTCGACCGCGGGTCGAAGGTGCTTCCGGGAACTGGAGCCGAGGGCGGAGCGGCTGGAGCCGGGCGACAGCGGGCCCGCCACCGGGAGAAGGGGTCGCTTCCGTGCATGTGCATGTGCGTGCCCGCCACGTCGGGACGCCATGTTTGAAAAAGGCACATCTTTTGAGTCCGCCACGGCTGCCACCTTTGAGAAGGGCACTTCTCATGAAAAGGGACATCACCCGAGGCCTCCGTCGCCGTTGCGTTTGCGAGGGCCAGCTGCCTCGCTGGAGGGCCTCCCTCCCCTCTCTGCTCTCAGCCTCTTCCCACCCTGCGGGGGCCACCATCAGCTCGGGGTCCCATTTATCCTGAGTGAATGTTATGCCCACATCCGTGAAGTCTCCCATAAACCAGCAAGGAGACCGCGTCCCGTATATAAAAGCAAAGAACCTTTATTTTATACTTTATACAAGTTTGTAAACTCGGTCTCTCCCTGTGTCCAACATATTGGAATAATCGGAGCGCTCCGAGCTCAGTTAGAATTGGGTTTTTATAGTAGTAAAGGTGGGGGTGAGGGGTTTCTAAGGTTTAGGACACCCCATTGGCTGACATTTGTTTTGAGTTTGTGTTGGCAGGTGATCCTATCTACAACGGTTGGAATGCTAGGCATTTCCTTTGGATGGTCTGTTTTGGGGTGGTGCTTGAGTAATCTCAGTTTGTGGTTCTTCCTGCAACCAGGTATTGCCTCCTCCGGGTAAACTACTGAGACTCAGGCGTCCCTTGAACTTATCATGGCTGGGTGCTACACTGGCAGGTGATAATGGTTGGAAGTTAAGAACTGTGGGTGGTCTGTTCCTATTAAGCTTGCCATGGTTGGCTGAGTCCTACAGTGAGGCCTCAGACAGGTGGCCCAGGCCTAGCTCTGCCAGCTGCGGGTCCTGGCTTCATTGTGGGCCTCAGCAAGAGCCTAGCGGTTAGAAGCATTTGCAGTAACAGTTTTTGAGTTTGACTCCAAGATCCACTAGGTATCCTGTGACCAGATTGACTCATTCTCTCTCAAAATAAATAATGTAAAAAATAACAAAGATCTTGAAATACAAATGAAATCTCTGGTCTCAGCCTCTGGTCTTGCTGGGTGGCTGGGACTGAGTGTAATGGTTTAAGTAAAATGCTGAAGGTTCATCGAGGGGCACAGCGACAGAAACGCTGCAGGTCCCCGAGTGATGACAGTGGGCAGCGGGACCCGAGACCATGCTGCAGGTCCCTGAGTAGCAGCAGGCAGCAGGACCCGAGATCACTCACGGTGGACCACAAAGGCAGCCAGATCCAGGCAGGGAGCTGATGGGGAGACTATCAACTAATCACATCTAGTTAGGGTATGGCTACCTGTAGCCCAGGTAGCAAAACTGGTAGGACACAGGCGCACTCTCTCTCTCTGTGCGGTGCCCACCAGACCGATTGGATTTTGGACCTCCCACTCTTGTAGCATGAGTTTTCCCTTTTCAACTATTAAAAAAAATAACTGTTATTCTTGAACTGGTCTGGTTATTTATCATACCGACCTAATTCGTCAACAGGGAGCCACATGCTGGGTGAGAGACTGAGACAGATAGGCAGCCATGCAGAGTGAGGTTGGATATTTTAGTGGGTTATGGAGAGGAAGGACGAAGGGGAGAAGGGAGAAGAGCAGAGAGAAATGGGGGAGATTTGGTCATAGTTTTCTCCAAACTGCTTCCTACTGTTTATTGGCCAAAGTATTTTTGGGGTTCATGGAGACCTTTTAGGGACTTGTTCCATCAAATCACTTAGCCTGGAAGGAATCCACAGGTTCTCATCTTCTATGGAAACAAAAGCAGAACCTCTTTTCCAAAGTAACATATCCTTAGACTCAAATTTTGAAGTCAAGATAACTTTAAAATATATGTTAGTTTAGCTTAGCAGCTCCCAGAAACAAATGTCTCTCTGCAGTCAAAAAATTCAAAGAAAACACATTAGTATACATAATCTAGATTCTCTGTGTAGTTTTCATCTTTTTTTTTAAAATTTATTTATTTAGTATGTATACAGTGTTCTACCTGTATGCCAGAAGAGGGCACTAGATCTCAATATAGATGGTTGTGAGCCACCATGTGGTTGCTAGGAATTGAACTTATGACCTCTGGAAGAGCAGCCAGTGCTGCTTAACCTCTGAGCCATTTCTCCAGCCCTGTAGTTTTCATCTTTGTGTGGCTTATTTTTCTTTACTTCTTTAATCTATGATTGTCTGTACTCTTTTATATTACTTTTACTCTCTCTTTAAAGACTTTACTTCTTTTTTTTATAACTGTCTATACTCTTTTTCCTCTTTCTTCCAAGCCTACATACAGTTTTAAACACATTGTGTCTTGTTTAGAGGTTTTTTTATGTCTGAATCTGTCCTATTGTGCATCTGTAATACTTTTCTGACAAGAGGCATTTAAAAATAGTAAGCAATGTGGTTGCCACAGCCCTGGATGTCAGCTCCACCTCTCTTGGCCTTTCAATATGGCAGAGGTACATTAACTGCCAGTTCTGGGACTGCTGGGTGGGAGCCGTGCTTACCACCTCAACTCTTGGAAGCACCATGCAGCACACAAATCTTTTCTGTCTTAGTAAAAGCTAAATCTGCCATGCAGCATGCTGTGTGGCCTAAAAATGTCTCCGTGTATGGTGGCAGGAATCCACCATGCTTTCCTGCCTGTGCACACCTAGCAGACCTGATCCAGCTGCTTTCCCAGGCCAGGGTGCTAAGTGGCAGGCATGCTTTCAGCTACTTTCCTCCTCACCCCAAGCAGGCATATAAATACCCAGACCTGAAGTGTGTGGGTGGCCATGTGGGTTAGCACCAAACGTATGGGCGCTGTTTTGTAGGTGGAGACTGCTTGTTCGTTTCCCAGCTGCCCAAATCCAAATAATCACACAGAAACTATATTAATTACAACACTGTCTGGCCAATATCATAGGTGTATTTCTAGCTAGCTCTTATATCTTAAATTATTCCATTTCTATTAATCTGTGTGTTGTCATGAGGCTGTGGTTTAATGGGCAAAGTTCCGGCATCTGTCTCCTTTGGTAGCTACATGGTGTCTCCCTGACTCTTATCTACTCTCTATATCTCTTTCAGCCTGGCTATATTCTGCCCTGTAATAGGTCAAAATAGCTTTATTTATTAACCAATAAAGGCATCACATATACAGAAGGCCATTCCACATCAGATTTCCCTTTGTCCTTCAGAGTGCTCAGGCATAGAAGGCAGGCCCTGGATCTATTGGGCTTTGGAGCTGGTTTCAGTAAACATAAAAACGTGCTGCTCTGTCTAATATGACTACAGGTTTGATTTTTATAGATGACTGACTGCTGCATTTCTTAATCATACATTGCATTTTAAATGAGCTGCATAAGCATAATATACCAAACAAGTGTTGAAAATACATTCAGTATAACAAAAATAACTTTTAAATTTGTATCAATAAATCCAAATTCATACCAACGTCAAATATTTGAGATTGGTAATTTTTTAAAGGTAGACTCAACAATCCACCGTTTTATCTTATAATTTCTGTATTATATCCCCCCTTTCACCTTAGAAAAAGATCATTGAATCTAATCTCCTTTGTTTAGATTTTTCCCTGACCATGACCAACAACAACTTGTAACCATTCCCCTAAATGATGACAAACACCCATAACTCATATAATGACCAAAAACCATCCACCCCAGCTCTTGAGAATGTGGGCATTGTGTTCTCTAGACTGTTTTCTGTTGTCTTGGAATGATAGCATCTTTGGGGGACACTGAGAAAATTGGAATAATGGTCAAAGTCTGGAAAAACCTAGCCATAACATTTATTGTTCAGTCTCTGTGCAATTAGAAAGTGCAAGGTTTATCTGTTGTCCTGGCTGGAGTAGTCTATGAGGCTCTGCACAAGTCATTTGATTTTTTTGTCTATGTTTGAGCAGGCTAAAGGCATCTGTCAACTTTATATGTCTGCTTGGAATGCATAACCAAACTGTAATATAAATTTCTATTCATGCCATATGAAATGATGGCATGTAATAATGTCACAAGGACTCTGTAGCCAAGCAAATTTATTATCTCTCATCTTGCAGGTGAGTTTTTCCTGTCCTTCCATCCAACTCCCATATTCCCACACAGAGACTGTAGAGTAAAAGGGTCGACCAAAGAACTCTGCCCTGGCCCTGAAACCAGAGTTAGTGAAAGAAAGACATGCTGGGCCAGAAACCAAAGTTAGTGAAAGAAAGACACCCTGGCCCAGAAACCAGAGTTAGTGAAAGAAAGACTTTAGACCTGATCCCAGAACCTAAGAAGCACACTCCTGAAACCAGAGTCAACAAAACACACTTTGGCCCTGGAACCAGAGCCAGTGAAAGAAATATGCCTTGACCCTAAAACTAGAACCAAAAAGCCAAAAACGGTCAATGAAAGAAACACAGTTTGGTCCTGAAACTAGTCCTAACTCTACTCCTGACCAACTGAACATGAAACCAACCAATCCCTGAGCAGGAAAACCAACCTATCCCTGAACAGGAAAGCAACCAATTTCTGTGTAGAAAATCTATCATCCTGACCTTGAACCCAGAGCCAGTGAAAGAAACACACCCTGAATCTGAAACCTGAGCCAATGAAAGAACACTTTAGTCCTGAACCCAGACTCAAAGAAACATGCCCTGATTCTGAAGCTAGAGCCAAAGAAACACACTTTGGCCCTGTAACCAGCGAAAGAACTATGCTTTAGTAGTGTGGAACAGAAGAAGAACCTTTGCTGAGATGTTCCCTTTGGGGGGCTGAGCAGAAAAACCTGGAGAAACAGGTATATCTGCTGGGAAACTCCCTTAGGAATAGAACAAAAAAGGCAACTTTTTGCTGGCGTCAGAAGAGAGTGCTACATTTCTGCAGGGGCTTCCC